TGAAAAGGTTCGACCTAAATTTTCAGATCGTTCAATGAAATCCAAACTGACAAAATTAGCTAATCTTCTTTTCAAAAATATGGTACCTCAAGAAGACTAACAAATTATTACTAAAGTTAATTAAAAAACTCTAAAAATTATTATAATATAAAAAATATATAAATAATCATGAACAGTATTATTCAATGGAACATAAACGAATTTTTCAAAATATCCGTTGATATAAACCGAGTTCTTTTCGAATTCAACCCACTTATACTTTGTTTCCAAGAAACTAATTTAAAAAATTCTCAACTTCCCAACCTTAAAAACCTTACAGGATATATTAAAAATCGTACAGTAACAAATAGAGCTAGTGGAGGAGTAGCGATATTCAACCATAAGAATATTGAAAGCAAAGAAGTCACAATCCAAACCCACTTAGAAACAATAGCGAAGATAGTTGAACTCGATAAGCAAATTTGTATTTGTAACATTTATATACAAGACAATACTCCTTTCACGTCTTTTGATATTAAAAATATAATAGACTAACTTCCAAAACCTTTTATATTAATGGGAGACTTCAACAGCCGAAATACACCTTGGGGTTGTAAAATTACGGACTCCCGTGGTAAAACAATCGAACAAATAATCGAAAACGAACAATCTATCATATTACTAAACAACGGAGACCCCACCAGATACAACAGTTTTAACGGAACATTATCTGCCTTATACCTAACCATAACCTCTTCTAATCTAGTACCTTCAATGGGGTGGCAGGTCCTAACTTCTTATAACGGAAGTGATCACTAGCCTAAAGAAATTCGTATCCAAAATAAAAATACTTCATATGACCCCCCCCCCCCCCCTCGAATGGAATCTCTCAAAACCTAACTGGAAACTTTTTTCCGAACTCATTAAACATGACTTAATTTTAAATCCAATTGACCTAAGTGCGAACATTACCCAGGAACATATCGATTCTATTGTTAACGATTTCACTAACATAATTCTCAAAGCAGCAAACATAGCAATAGGTATTAAGTCAAGAAACAACAAACACAAAACTACACCCTGGTGGAATGCCGAATGCAACAACGCTATTAAAAAATACAAACATGCACTAAACCGCTTCAAAAAAACTAAAGACCCGTTAGACCATATTCTTCTTAAAAAATCAAGAGCGGAAACTAGATATATCACTAAAACAAGCAAAATACTATCTTGGAAAAATTTTACCTCGACTATCAATCATAAAATAGACCCTTCAGAATTATGGAACAAAATTCGAACATTAAAAGGATATAAATCTCCCCCTACTCCAGATCGACTGAGAGATAATCTTAACAAAATGTATACATCCTCGACCAGCATTTCGGAAGCGTTCGCCCAGTTTTTCCAAAACAATAACAGCAACCAAAACTACTTTGATGAATTTTTAACCCATAAAAATGCTTATTCATCATTACCACCAGTCACCCCATCTACCAACTAACATTGTTTTAACATACCTTTAAACCTAAGTGAACTTCTATTAGTCCTTCAATACAGGAAAAGTAAAAACCCAGGACCCGACAATATCCCTAATTTATTTATTCAAAACCTTCCCGAAAATGGACTCTTAACTCTTCTCCAAATTTTCAATTCAATATGGACTCATGGTATCTTTCCAAATCAATGGCGGAACGCAACAGTAATCCCCATCCCAAAACCGGGAAAAAACAAATTTGAAATTCACAAATATGTCCCTAATAAATACTATGAGCAAAATCCTGGAAAAAATCATTAACAAGAGACTCATTTGGTTCCTTGAATCGACAAATCGAATCTCAAACCAACAATGCGGCTTCAAACGAAATTATTCAACCATAGACGGCCTATCTTCACTTCACACTGACATCTGTACAGCCTTCAAAAGAAACCAACATCTTATTCTAATTTCACTTGATTTACAAAAGGCATACGACATGGTCTGGAGAGACAAGGTATTATCGACGCTCATCAAATGGGATATTAACGGCCACATGTTTAAGTTTCTAACAAACTTTTTAACCAATCGCTCGTTTAGAGTGAAAATCCAAAACACTCTATCCAACTCTCAATATAAGTATTATAATCATTCGATGAATGTAAAGTGATATTAATAGTTTAAATCCACCTTGAATTTGTCTATACTTAATAATTTAATAATATGATTATAATTTCAAGATAACGTTAAAGCTAAATAGAAGTATACAAAACATTTTCTAACTTTCTATTGCTAAATTATCGGTTAACTTAGTTTTGATTCCCAGAGAAAAATGTTTTGAAAATTATAAGTGAATATGTTAACATAATAAGTTTATTAAAATCCTAAGAGCGTTTTTTAGTATTACATTACATTTAGCTTATTTAAATATGATTTTGATGCAATAACCATAATTTAACATAGTATGAAATTATATTAAAATACATGTTCGTAAATTGTACGAAAATATTTTAATAATTTAATATATTATCAGTTTTAATTGAATTATCCATAAGTTATATTTATAAAAATATATACTTACTCTTGATTAACCGAATTATATCAAAATATATAGTCCAACTATTTTACTATATGGATGTGATTATTCACTGTGGTATGTATCATAATAATGTAGACCACTCTTTTAAATTCGCACACAAAAATGAATATAATCATAATTATTTTTTCTTTAATTTGATTTTAAATAAGAGAATGATTGTTACAAATCATTTTTCTTAATAATAAGAAAATAATATTTTTCTACTAAATATAATATTCTCGTATATGCTCGTTATAGTTCTAATTTTTTTTAATGTTCATATGTGTGTAATATAGTAACAAATTTGTTACTCCTAGTGTGTGATTTTATAAATATTTTAATAATAAAAAATATTATTAGTAGTGATGGATCGAACCCTGATTTTTTAAATCGAACCGAACTTGAACCGAACTTTAAATTATTTTTTCGAACTCAAACTGAACCGAACCTTCATATTTTCTACCGAACTGAACCTATTATGATTTTAAGTCGAACTCGAACTCGAACTCAATACTTTTTATCATGTTATTTGTTCCTACCAACAAATTAAATCAACCATAATCATTATTATTAATGACTATTGTATTTTAAGTTTTCGTATTACCTATTCTACATTTTAACTTTTAAGTCTAAGTAATTGTATTATTTACAATACATTTAAATTTTAAATAATTTCTTATTATTATTATTATTTTTCAAAACCAGTATTGTGCTCTTTCGTATTGTCTTGTAGCTTATAAAATATCCATTGAGTATTGAGTATTGAGTATAATATGACAATATAATAAGTACATTTTAATAATATATAAAAAATATAGTAATAATAACTATAATTCACAAACATAGAATGATTAGTAGAATTTATAATGCAAGACGTAAGTTGTAAACATGTTTTTATTAACAGCACAGTCGCGGTATCGGAATATTACCATGGATTTACCCAAAATAGATTTTAACCCCTAAAATAAATATGATAAAAACAAAAATAGCTAATTTATGAATGTAGATACACTACCTCTATTGGCGATAAACAACTTATTAATGTTTTGTACGGTGGAGGATAAATGTGTAACATGCGACTGGAAAAGTAACATTGTTATTTTAATAATAGTATTATTATTATAAATAATGCATAACGTGCCCTTTACAGATTATCACTTTCTATCGTCAATAGTCTAATTATTTCTAAATAATCATTATCAATTTTTATTTTTCAAAAATAACTTTTGAAGTATTGTACAAATATTTGGTTTTCGAACTATCATGGCCAGTAAGTCTAGTTCGACAAATATTTTTAAGTTCGATTTTCGAACAGTAAAAGATGCTTGATAGGTCGGTTCGATTTTTATTCATGCCGAGTTCGAATTTCGAACCGAACCGAACATCAAGGGTTCGGTTCGGTTCGGTTCGAGATTCGAACAGTTCAATCCATCATTAGTTATTAGTAATCATGTATTTTCTATTCGTTTGATCTTTTTAAAGTAAATAAATGATAACAAATACCATGCATTATGTATTAATGCATGGTATTTTAAAAAATTAAGTACAATCTGATAAGTTTGAACCAATATTGGCAATGATTCACGTTTTAAGAAGACTTTATATTTAACTTTTGATATGTGGCCCATCCTAATCACCTAACAGTAGCTTAATTTGCATACTAATGACCAAGAAGTCATTTGAATTCCTAGTTACGAAACAAAAACGATAATTATGTCGAGGGGAAATAGCCGTTCTTCATCGACAATTAAGTTAATCAATGGGTAGACATTGTGAACTTAGGTTGTCTCCCAGTTGCAAATTTGAAGGACGTCAACGAAACTATGCACGAAATTGACTTACAAGGTTATCTCTCGCTTATATATTGCTTGTTTTTTTTATTGTATTTGAATGTTTCACCCTCACATGGTTTGTGGTCATCACAAAAAAAGAACGAAACATGTGCTAATGTCACTGACAGATTATTTGATGCCTATGACATAAATATATTAATGAAGTTAATTAACCTATATAATATGTTAAATTTACCGACGAATATTCAATATTGTTAGTTATATTTTTTTTTACAACTTATTGGTTTTATTTAAAAAATAGTAAGTACAATTATTGCAAGATACACAAACATACAAGATACAAGATACTAATACACATATTTTTGTTTCAAATTCTTAAATAATTTTAATTTTATTCAAAACTGTTTTATTTGATTATAATATTTTTGTTTAATACAATTATGGTAAAAATTAATTTATTTATTAAATATAACTGTAACCATTACAGTGTAATTTTAAATAATGTTAAATAATAATAAAAAAAGGGGTGATCGATCCAAATAACACTAGGATTAAAGGTAAAAAGTAATTGAAGACAGTAAAATAAAACCACGAACTAATTTGCTTGCTCTTCAATTTCAATGTACCTTTTTCCGATGGAACCTACCTTGCTGCGGTGGAGGGGATCACAGCCTAGATGGCTGTGCTAAGCGGTTCCAAAAATACGATGGATCAAAACTTAAGCAAAGAAAACAGTACCCCTATTTCAGGCTCCCATTGCTTCGGAAGTGGGGCGTCCATCAGGCAACAAAGACTGGAAATCGGAAACTAGGACATGAAGATTACGAAGATACAACTAAAGAGGAAGTTAGAACAGATGAGGATCTTGGCAATTGAGTATTTGAAACTCATGATTATCTCCAATATCTAATCTTAGATATGGTTACTTTGATAGAGAAAAAAATAAGAACGCGAAGATTAAACACGAAGGAACTCGAAATAATCACGACTTGATAGATGGTACAGGACACTTTTCTGAAGGAAGACATTGGACTCAGAATCCCAACAAGAAGACCAACAACGAAGCCGTAGTCGTTCGCCCATCTGGAACAACAACCTACGCCGACGTTGCCAAGAAGTTAAAGACGATCATAAATGTAAGTACGCTGAATGTTAATATTAAAGGCTTAAAACAATCGAATATGGGAGACTTCATAATCCAGGTAGGTAAGGGCCCCAAACAAGAAGAAGTAGCGGTGAGATTAAAGCAAGCGGTCATTCAGGCGTTAGGAGCTGAAGCAGTAGTAAAACACTCACCCAAGACCGAAATAATAGAAGTACGATACCTGGACTCAGAAAAAACGGAGGAGGAGGTTATACAGGTAGTCGTTAACTCCACGGATACCACACCAGACTCGATGAATGTAATCAGAATGCTTCCCTCATACGGAGGCAACATGATGGCAGTAGTCAAAATAAAAAGCATAAACGCCTATACACTGCAAAAGACAGGCCACTTAATTATAGGACTTGTGCGATGTCGAGTGAGGTTAAAAACTCAGATTGCAAGATGCTACAGATGCTACAATTTCGGCCATTTCAGAGCATCGTGTAGAGGAACTGATCGAACGGCCCAGTGCATGAAATGTGGCCAAGAAAATCACAAGGCGAAGGATTGCAATGTACAACCAAGATGTGTTCTATGAAACGAAAAGGAAGGAAAACGGGCATGACATAAACCATAACCCGAGCGGCTCAGCGTGTCACGAGATCAAAGAAGCGAAGAAACTTAAGTAACCATCTTAGTTAAGTTTACTCAATGAATATATGCCGAACAGGCAAAAAAGCAGGGTGGTTAGAGACCCCATAAATTTGTAAACATTTTAAAGAATGTAAATTGGATTTTTCTTTTATGTAATGTAAAAACGCTTTCGTCCAATAAATTATGTGACAGGTAGAAAGTAATGGAAGACCAGTTCCCTCCCTGTTCACGATTCCATATAAAAAAAAAAAAAATAAAAAAATGTACCTACTCGTATTATTTAAAACCTATTAAACCTAATATTTTCAACCCGGTTTATAACTAATAAAAAGAAGTAGGTACAAAATGTTTTGATTGCGATATCATAATTGAATATTGAAGTATGAGTATCTACTCACCTCATTACCAGTGTAAAATATTATACAAATATTTCACTTTTACTAGAACACTAAATTTTATTTTATTTATATTTTGCCATTTATTTTTAAATAGCACTTTGTTATTATATTGTGTAAGAATGTTTAAATAATATCTAAACCATGTTCAAATAAAAAAAAAAAAAAATTTAATATTATGTAATATTAAAAAAACAAAACGGCACCAAGTAGATTTTCAGTAATTTTATAACATTAAAAATTCTTTTGGAATTTTTATAAACATTGAAAAACAATACAGAAAATCAATTTTTTTTTTTTTTAACTTAATTTAATACATTAAATACTCTTTAAGGTTTTTAGTGTGGATATACTAAAAAAAAATAGCTTATTGTAAAATAAATAAAAATAATCAGGATATTTAAATAATTTTTACATTCTTCACTAAACTAGTTTCTAAATTCATATTGTAAATTTTTTTAATTACAAATAGATTACATTTTAATTGTTATTTTATGCAATTTTAACAGATAATGTGTTAAGGATTAATTATTTATTTTCATATCATAAAATCATTGGCATTTTATTAAAATTTAATACGTATGTAAAACAAAATGTTTTTAAATTATTTTATACTTAAATAAAAGCAGAATAACAATCTTACCAAATTTTCAGTGCTAATATCAAACGCAGAAATTGTAGTCATAATAATATTTTAAGAATTAAAGAAGCTTATTTTAGTTATATGTAATACAAATTAATAAATCCTTGTTTTTTTTTATCTTTATTCACGTGTGAAAACAAATTCGATTTGTTTTGTTATCAGTTTTCGATTGATGTGAATTATAATTCATCAAAATTAACAATTTGTGGATTTTGGTAAAAAGAAATAAAATTGTCGAGCATATAACGAATTACCAATAAATAACATTTTTATATATCATAAAAAATATTTTGTTTTTTTCGAAATACTGCATTTATTTGGGTTCTTAAACAAAGATTCTAACTTGACAAAGTATAAAAATACAATGACAGGAAAGTCCAACATGTAAAAATATAGTTATCGGTCTAGAAAATTATTTCATGCAGATAAACACCAGTAGTAACTTTTATCATCAGTTATAAATATGTCACAGTTAAAACTAACAACAGTTTTAATATTTATTATGTCAGTGACGTAGCCAAAGAAGTGACTCAAAAATACATCCACTCCAAATTCGTACTATTATATGTACGTATATTTTATTTAATATGTACATATAATTCATCTTTAGTTTATAAATTAAAAAAAGAAAGACAAATTTTATTTCGATTAAAATTTTTACGATCCCATTCAAAAATGTTGATTATGGTCCTGAATTATCCATCACTTTTGAGAAATTAAATTTTCCGAGCGAGTACATGAGTCATTTGCGTATAATGCAGTCATATAATATATATATATATATGTATTGTATATAGACGTAAGCGCACCTGTATAGGCATAATGCGCAGTTACAATATTATAAAGATAGGATATAAGTTATTTCGTTTCAAGATGAAACAGTGAGAAGAGAATAGGTTGATTGGATGGGCGGGAAAACGAGGATAAATAAAGGATTATAATATTAATTACTTGACGTTAACAAATGACGTCGAAGACTTCGACGGTATTCAGAGACAATAATAGTAAACGATAATCGTGTAACATGCTACCTTATAACGCCAAAATCTCTGATTATTCGTCGAATCGCATAAGAAAAGCGCGACATGCTCGCCTTAAACCCATTAGCTGCGATTGAAACCTTTGAATACAACGGGTGGGTTTATTTTCTTCCAAAAAAGAAAAAAATATTCTCAAAAATTCTTCTCAAAGAAAAAAATAACTATTGGATTGCGTTTCCCTTTAAAAAAATTTTTGGGCTACAATCATGTAAATTTTCCTCTAAATATTAAAATATTTAATCAGCATCAGAAATGTTGTGCTGTGTACCGTACTATAAAATAAAAGTAACCGTCGATTAACGTCATTGATGTAATTAATCCTAATTTAAATAGGTATAAACATTGTGTATACATAAAGTTATCACCAATCATTATGATGGTTTTTATGATTATATACAAACTTATATGAAACAAAATTAATTTTTTGAGGAAAATAAAAATCGAATAAGACCAAGTATTTCGCATATCTATTACTATTACTACTATAATTATGAATCACATTACGTAACAAAAAACAAAATTATGCATATTGCATACATCATAAAATACCACTTTTTATTCATATAGCATAATACCTATACTCAACCGAAAGCAATAATGCTTGTGAGTGCACAAATACCTTTTAATCAGCTAAAACTTGAAAAATCTTAACAAAAATGTATTTTGAACCATAAATCAAATTTTAAAGTTAAAAACATATGATTTTTAGATACTTAAAAATAATTTTGATAATATATATATATATATATATATATATATAATAGTAGTAGTATGTTGTGAAAAACTAAATTAGATTATGTTAGGTTACGTTTGATTATTACACTTGGTAACGCACAATTACGCCTATTATGTTGTCATTACATAATTATTTACAAGAATAATTATCATCATATCATTCTATAAATTATCATAACTTAAAAATGATTTCAAATAAATACGGGCTATATATTTTACATTATATAAATAATATTGTACACAGATTTACCAATAATAATTATTATTTAAATTATAATTTTGCTTGAAGTATATAATCACAGATGCGCTGTACAAATATTATATACGTAAGTAGTCAATATATCTTAAATTATAATTGCAAAATGGGTTACAAATTTATAGATAAATATAATCATCATTCGCATATCATAAGTAATATATATCTAGATATGTCAAGCATATATCAAAAAGAAAAAAAGTCTTCAATAAGTATTCACTTTTATTTTCATTTTATTTTCACATTTTATCGATAAAATCGTTCGGTATAACGGTAATATCGTGGTCTTTTAACTTAAACAACATTTTTTTTTTCAATTGCATAAATATCAAAAAAGATTCATAACCAAATTAAATATATTGTTTGAACACCCTGAATTTACGTTATTTTTCCTGGCACGTGACAAACTGATATTTCGGACTGAATCGATTCCGGACTGCCGATGATCACATTTGTATTGGTTTCATTTTGTGGATACTTGATCGTACTTATGTATAGCCACCATGGTTTTCGGCTTTTTACCTATTTTCTTTTTTTTTTATCGATACTAACCTGAATTTTATCGATACAGTGAAACCTCTATTAATGGACACCTCTCAATAGTGGACCCTTCCCAATAGAGGACACTTCTAAGTTCCCCGACAAAAATGTATGCACATAATACAAGTTATAACCTCTTAATAGTGGACGTGGACACAATAAACTGGTACCAAATTAAAAATTACCTCTCATAAGTGGACACAATACATGTACATATCGAAAACGTTTAAGAAATAAAAATACCATATTTATCTCTTATACATTCGTCCATGTTTCATCTTATCTTAATGGTTTTCCTATTCGAAAAATGACTATAAAGGTTCGGTTATGTATTCGGTCGTTAGTTGTGTACATTGTGTGAACACATACCTGCGTTAAAATGAATAATAATAAAAGAAAAAGATTGAACTTAGAAGAAAAAATAAATATTATTAAAACTAAAGAAACGGAAAGTCTAAGTCTTCGTGTACTAGCAGAAAGATTTTGCATAAGCAAGTCACAGGTAAATTTAAATATTTAATTTAAATATTTTGTTTTAATTTATCTAAAAAACATCTCATTTAATGAAAAATACAGGTGAATAACATTTTACAAAATGCGTGTAATTTGAAAAAAATATTACGCTGAAAATGGCAATGAAGATATGAGGAGAAAATTTTCGAAAACATCGGATGGAGCACTTGTAGATAAAGTTACATTTGAATGGTTCTGTAGAGCCCGTTCATATAATTTACCTGTTTCTGGACCATTGCTCCAAGAAAAATCACGAGAAGTTGCAAATGAGGGAGGTCTAGAAAGTTTTAAAGCTTCAAATGGTTGGCTTCAAAAATTCCGAGAACGTCATAACATTACTTTTAAAATTATGTGGTGAAGGTAACTCTGTTGATTCAAGTGTCGTAGAAAACTGATTAGAAAAATTGAAAACATTAATTTCAGATTATGAACCAAAAAATATATTCAAATGTGATGAAACGGGTTTATTTTTTCGAGCACTTCCTGATAAAACATTGAATTTAAAAAACGAAATTTGTCGTGGAGGTAAAAAAGCTAAAGATCGCTTAACTGTTTTATTATGTGTAAATATGATCGGGAAATTTGAAACTCCATTAATAATTGGAAAATCACTAAAACCACGTTGTTTCAAATGTATAAATGTATCAACGTTATGTGTTAATTGAAATGCTAACCGTACAGCATGGATAAATCGAGATTTAATGACAGATTAGCTAATGTGTTTTAACAGAAAAATGGAAATGGAAAATAGAAAAATTATTTTATTTTTAGATAACACTAGCTCACATCCTGATACATTAAACTTAAAAAATATAAAACTAA